CCGTTCGTCGGTCGTCGTCGTAGTCGTACTATACGTATATATATATATATATATATATATATATATATATATATATATATATATATACTATATATATATATATATATATATATATATATATATATATATATATATATATATATATATACATCAATTTGGCAAACACGTTGGTTTCGAAAACAAAAAATAAACGTATACTGCTGTCTGTGTCTCACCACAATTTGAACTCGGACAATCGATGAGGATTATAGAAACGAAGCTATTCGTACACAAATCTATAATAAAAACACCGCTAAACTACAATGACAAGCAATTGGAGAAGCCCTATGACACAAACTTTTAATATCGATACGTCGTAAGGCCGTACAAATACTCTGAAAATTTTTCTGGCCGGCATATCTGTACCTTCATATATAACAAAACCAAAATCATCCAGTAGACTCTTGTGGGTGCACTTAATTCACTTAACGCGTATGCAACTCTGAGTTTGTATCTGTGTAGGTAGATATAATACCTACGCCCGCGATTTGAACCAGCGACACGATCTTATCGTCATATTCGTCTGTGCTGAACTCTGTGTCCAATCCCACTATCTTGAGAGTAGTTAATTCCTCTATACACAACAGGGTACAATAATAATGAGAAATGAATATGAAAATACTCTGCCAGATTCAGGTTTAAATGTGCACAAGTGTAGATCTCTATTACGACAAGTGGAACTTTAAGATTGCAACCCAGGCGAGTGGCAATTCAGCCTATCAGTATCGCGTCCATGCACCGAAATACATTCTTGCGCATGCTGCCTCGTTCCAATGCACACATTTACGCTTGTCAAAATACACACATTTAGGCATGTCTCGCTCTGCATAAAACACGCGAACAACAAGCATGTCTCACACAAGACTCTATTTAACATGTGCACACAAGCTTGTTTGACTTTAACATAGATAATTGTGCACACATACTTTACTTTTTTGATACACACATAATCGAACAGTACTGACGCGTACTACTAGAGGCCTTCCGTATGTATGTACACGTACACAGACTCAACCACCAGCTCCTGTACGCACATATCTCTGCACACACACCCATCGGCAGAGCCATCTCGGCGGTTTTCAGATCCGTCACCATGATGGCGGCCCTCGTTGCTATGGTAACAGGCGTATCGGGATCTGCATTCTCCGTATACCACGATGGCATCCCGTTCATTTTGACTGAAGATTCTGTTTCTCACCGTAAAATCCATTCAATCCGTTTTGAAGATTTGCTCATTGGTGACGGCTTATTTGTAGATAGAAGTCCATAACTATATGACTACAATGACAACATAGATAATACAATTCATACGCAAACGAGGGCACTATAAGCAGCCACCATGCATGATAATCCATACATACGTGTAGAGATATAAAGTTCAGTGTGGAGAAAACGAGTGCTATGTAAATGCGAGATATGCAAGTGCATGCATACACTTCAGTCACTGATAGATTGGCAAGCGAAGTCAAAATGGTATGGTAGGCTGTCAAGCAATGGTTTATGTTTGACATCTTGGAATCAATGGATGAAATCCATGTAGACAGGGTCAAGACTGCTATATAGAAAAACGAACAAAAAATTGCGGATATCTATGATTCAATACATGCGCATGACTTAATTCTATGCGGAAAAACTAGAGTTGTTTACAGAACTTCGTTTTATGTCTGATCTGAGATGATATATATAATAAAAGTGGGCTTGTCGTCGTCTGTGTATAGTGCACCTGCAGGTAGCCCTGTGGACACTCCTTATTCACATGACCTTTTACGTGCAGAAGTTCACTTTCCCGTCCATTAGTGATTCTTGTCAACACCCACCCATATTTGTCATCTTATATACTTATGAAAGAGTCAAACAGCCCCACAATAAATCTGTCACCCAATCATCGTTAAAACGGATATGAGGAGACATACAGGTTCAAATGCTGTTATCACTCAATATATGTATATACATATGAATCTAAGACCTAGACACAGATCAATTCCCTACCCTAGCGCGGTTCAAATATATTTCTAATTTTCGGTGTCAGAAGCCACTGTCTTGCATTCCTATCTAAAAATTGTAATCGCTGGAAACACTGTAGCTTGCGCACAGCACTCGGCTAAACTTATGGAGTACCAACGGCACCCGCAGAACCGAGTGGCCCAATACTAAGCGTGAAGATTACGCATATATACGTGTATGACCAATGTAATAGCGTATACACAGGCAGATCATATACAGTAAATACACATGAAAAAATTGAAAACAGAAAAACTACGTGTGTGTACACACCGAGACGTGTTCATACCCAGACACATGAGATACAGGCATATGCATAAGATCTTAGTCGTTTTAAAAGGAAAAACTTAACAAAAAAAATACGTGCAAATTCCCCTTGATCACGCCTATAGCCCCACAAGAGATGCCTATACGATATAGTATACATTTAACTCGATACAAGTGCACACAGTATCAGACGCATTGAAACTAAATTCATATGTACACATAGGCCACGCAGAAATCAGTAAAAAAAGTCCTTGAAAAAAGAACACTATAGCACTACCGGCATGCACTATGTACAAACTCTAAACTCACCCTGGTGAGTGCATACGAGATCAATACCGAAGATATCAAATATATACAAGTCTCTCTATAAGTAAAATAAACGAGGGCTTGTGCATCGGTCACGATAAACCGGCACACGACTGAGAGTACATACTACTATACACACAGAAGCACATGCGCACTATGTAATCTACGGCATATATTTTTTACACAGAGTCATGCATCAAGACATCAGAGGATGTCCACCAGTGTTTATCCGTGAGTCATCACCGGCGGAAACACACACGGTTTGCACAAATGTATGTGAAAACGTTGAGCGGTTAAGCTATCCCTGACAAGCGTACCTTCTCAGAAATAGATGTACAGAGACCGTGTGTAGCATACAATGGATAGGTGTGCTTTACAGCGTCTTGTACCACTGCGATACACGGGTAAGCTTTCTGTAATGTGCACACTTACTCAGAGACTGAAGCACGAAGGTTTGCGCGCAGTATATATATATATATATATATACGGAAGGTTTCCCTCGCAAAGTTTTGAGTCAAGACGAGATCTCTGCGTGCTGATGCAATGCAAAGCCTAGTATATCAGATCTATATGTAATGCCAGCTCAACTTGATACGAATCCCTATTGCCCGAACAGGTTGTGTGTAGCTTCAGTGTTGTTGTTTGCTCCATTTCTCTAATATACAGGCCTGATTTCGTGACTGATAACACAACACTGACAACAGAACAATATTTGCTATATTTTTTTTAAAACAAAAAGACCACTCAAAATGATGTCGACGTCAATGCGTGTCAAAATTTCAGGGACAATACTGAAATCAAAACCATTTTGTCGTTTACCATCTTAAAGCGATGATTTCATTGGTACTCGGGTAGTTGCTTTCACCTCAGTTTGTCGCAAATATAAAATTTGTATGTCGTTAACCAGTAAAGGCGAAAAAGGCTTTATTTACTCCGACATATTGAATAAAATGAAGTATGTACAATTGTAATGTACAATATATTTATGTATGTAGTTCAGTGAAATGTACAGAGGATGTATCATGATATAAATACACTCTTGTTCACTTGACATGGGCATGGGACTGTATTAGCAGCTATGTACACAGATATAGAAATACTAGGAAGCTAGGTGCGTAATCGGATAACAAACCCGCAGCTTTCACGTCAACTGCATTCCTAGGTTTATGTGCGTCTACTAGTCAGTTCTCTGCTCGTAATTGGGTAAGTGCTGTAAGTACATAAGCACGCAATCACTCGATTAAATAGTGGTGCATTGTACTGCATCGCGCACATATACATATAGATACATATACACTTCACGCAATGTCGTTAATACGCAAGAAGAGCAGTGCCAGCATAGATAAACACAAACGCGACACACGCCAGGGGCATCACAACAATCTCTCTGAGCTGCACGTGCGTGTCTTAAGCTTCTCTGGTATATCTAAAGACTCCTTCAAAGCCAAGCATACGAAGGTTACTGTCAAGGTTCATCTGGATGACAATTATGTCAAAACTGGTCCCGGCGTGAAGGTAGGCACACGAGTTGTCTGGGGAGGTAGGGGAGGGCGTGGAGTGGTGGATGGGAATGAATCTAGAGACTCGAAACAACAGAGAGCAAGCTCGGCTAATATGGGGTATGTGATATATATATATATATGATACACACACACACACACACACACATACACACACACACACACACACACACACACAC